ACCGCCCTCAACCCGCAGCTTCCAGCGACCGACATCTGCTCAGCCGAGTTCCGCCCGGAGACCAGCAGCTCCGACATCCGCGCACAACCCCGACGGCGACAACCTCTGCGCGCGCTCCAATCTCCGGCCACAGCGAGCCTCAACTCCGAGCTCAAAGCTTTGAAATCTGGAGACCACCAAACCAGGCCTAATTTCCAGCAATCGAGTTCCGTTCGGGCTCTATCTACTACCACCTCGGCTAGTCTCAACTGTGATTGCGAGCTCCTGACCAGCAGCCCCGACACCCTTCAAGCCCAGCCGCGGGCTCGACTACCGGGACACTTTTTGTGCATTCCCGAGGTACTTAGGCTTGACTCTCTTGATTTATGTCGATTGTTAGAGTTGACGTGGAGATTGGGTGATTGTGATTTGAATTGTAATTGATGGTGTTTGGAGTTTGGGGAATTGTTATTGAACTTGTAGTTGATTTGGAGATTGGGAACTTGGTGTTGATTAATTGAAATTCGGGATTGAATTGGAAGTTAGAATTGTTGTGATAATCGATTGTCGGTTGTGCATATTGGATATTGTTGTGTGTGGGGACACGTCTTGCCGGACGTGTTAAATTCTTTGTTGTCGGACGGGTCGAGTTTCTTGTTGCCGGTCGTGTCAATTTTTTGTAGGATGCCTTTTCGAATTGTTAAATGAAAGAGAGTTCTCGGAGTCGCTCGATATCCGGTTGTTGGTTATGGGATTGTAGAAAATTGTTTATTGGTCGTGTCGAGGTTTATGGAGAATGTCACTTTCGGGCTCGAGGCTCGACTTTTGAACTTTTAAATTTATTTACGTCTTCATCGAGTATTTATGGATTCATGTCTCTCATTCCTCCGGGGCGTAAACAAATGAGGCCTCTATTATGCTTTCAATGTTCAAACACCCGGGAAGCTCATAGAATTTTGCGTGCTCAATTTGTACACGTTCGGATGATCTCGGTTGGAGCTCGAAGGACATTATCGCTTTTTATTCTCTCTCTCTTCCCACCGGACGAACACCTCGATACACGGTGGAACCCCACCGTGTCGAGTATGCGCTTTCTTTTCCCTTCTTTATTTTTCTCTTTCTCTTTCTTTTCTATGTGTTATGTGTTTCCTTTTTGTTTTCGTTTGTATAGTTCATTTATCTTGTCGAGCTTATGTGATTACGTGCTCTTTTCTATGCTTTTTGGGTCAAGCAATGAGGACATTACTTTGTTTTAAGTATGGGGGAGGGGTTTGCGTGATTATGCATGCTTTAGGCGTATTTTCTTTTCGTTTAGTTGTGTCGTGGACCGGTTTTGTTTGTTTTTGTGTGTTTTGTTTCGATTTCCCCATATGAGAATTGATGTGAGTCCAATTGCTCGGAATGACTAAGTGGCTAGATTGGATTGTCGTTCGTTTTCATTATTAGCTCTCATGCCTTATGTGCTCAATGATTTTGACGGTTTTTATAAAATGAGATGATTACTTGTTGGTATTAGAACTCGCATGTGGATTCACAGAATTTTCTTGTCCCGTTTGTTCTTGATTGATGAACTTGATCATGCTTACCTTATGCTCGATTGTTGTGTACAACGTGTTATGCTACACACTTTGATATGTTGTGATTGATTTGTGACGTTTATGATTGTATTCGTGATGTATCTTTGTGTACCACCCCCTTAAAAAAAAAAAAAAGGAATAAAAAGTGAGTTCGCGAGGAAGTATGGATTAGACTCCTCTTATTCCGAACCACTTAGTGGATTGGGATAATGAGCCCGGGAAACCGGTCTAGAAAACTCGAGGAAACCCCTCGAGGTTAAACCTAGGGAATCTCGTCC